CATGGTATACCATACCAATGGGGTTTCCCAACCAAACTGATAGTGCGGCGACAAGGCAGAATATTCACAGTCCAGAACCTGGAAGCAGGCATCAATCTGCTTAAAACATGGAACATTCTTCCTACGGATACACAGGATAATATTCCTAATTCTGTCCAACACATGGAAGCAACCTGAGCGATCACATGACACATTCCAGATGCAGACACCTGTCCTACCCCCCAAGGGGCCTATGATTAATGTCCAAATGTCTGGCGATCGGCCCTCATTTGAAAATGACTGTTCTACTTATTTTTGTTTGGCATGACCCTTTCCGTGGTCAAAGCCCATTTCTACCCCCCCAATTCTAAAGTAGCGATGTTGGCTACTTGGCCTACCTGCTTTTTCTGCAGAACTATTTTTATTACCTTGTTTGTCTCCACCTCCCCTTTTCTACGGCACCATCGACTACTCCTCCTTACTTCTACACTCGCATTCTTAGATCTACAAGGAACCACAATTCCATAGCCGCTATTCGAGCCATACTGGTATCGCAAGTATACTACAAACTCTCATTCCTGGGAAATTACCGAATCTTGATCCTCTTAAACAACATCCTGACGCTATACTTTCAACGCATAAATGCTTACAAATGATTAATATAACATCTCTCAACGTCAGAGGCCTAAACTCCCCTTTTAAGAGATCACTACTCCTTAAAGAAACCCGGAAATCTCAAGCTGACATTTTCTTCATACAGGAAACCCATTTCGCTACTGAAAAAGTACCCAAGCTACACCTTCACCACTTCTCACAAGTATTTATGTCAACCAACCCCAAGAAGAAAAATGGAGTCATCACAGCCATTAGCGATTCCCTCCCTTTCCGCATTATTTCACAAATAGTTGACCCACTTGGACGTTTTCACATCCTTATCTGTCAGATTAATGACATACCTCACACATTGGTAAATGTCTATGGCCCGAACATCAACCAATTACAATTTTATCGGAAACTTTACAAAACTATCTCTTCCCAGAAACAAGGCAGACTCATAATTGGCGGAGATCTCAACGTTATGAGCAACCCACTTGTTGATTCTTCTTCTAAGAAACATCCTACTAAATACTCCTTCAATCAATTTCTACACGACCACGACTTATATGACATTTGGAGATGTCACCATGGCTCCGAGAGAGACTACACTTACTACTCCCCTGCACACCTTTCCTACTCAAGGATAGATATGTTTATCACCGATAAATGGACACTACAACAAGCGACCTCATCGAACATTGGCATCATTTCTTGGTCAGATCATGCTCCAATCAGCTTATCCTTAGATGATGATAGACGCTCGGCACTTCCGCCGATCTGGAGACTTAATTCGTCACTCCTATAATTCCCGGATAACCAGAAACATATTTCAGCAGCTCACAATCTATTTTTTGATACCAACACCACTCCGGATATCTCAATCACCACACTCTGGCAAACATATAAGGCCTACATGAGAGGTATCCTCATACAATTAAACTCGCGTATATAAAAAAACAGCGCTCCCAACAAATTGACCAACTCTTAACTTCCATTAAATTTAATGAAGAACTCAACAAAATTAACCCCAACTCCTCCACTTCCGCGACCCTAAACCAAGAAAGAAACAAACTGCGCAACCTTTTACTCTACTCATACGATACCAATCTCCAAAAAACGAAGACTAAATTTTATGCATTAGGAAATAAAGCAAGTTCTCTTCTCGCTAAGACCATTAAACAAAAACGACTCAAGACCAAAATTTCTACGCTACAACACCCGACCACGCGCTCACCCCCCCCAAGATATAGCCAATGCTTTTGCAACATACTATCAAAAGCTATATAATATAAAAGACGACCCTAATACCACTCAACCCACGACTTCCACCATTGAAAGTTTCCTACATAACTCCAATCTCGCCCATATCACCCCCTCTCAACTTGAATCTCTATCTATTCTCATTTGCAGAAATTGAAAAAAATTATCTCAACTTTACCCTTACACAAATCGCCAGGAAATTATGGATTCACTAATGAATTCTACAAAACATTTGCACCCGACCTTACGCCGCATCTATCTGCCCTTTATAATCACGCTGCATCTAACGGTAAATTCCCTTCTGACATGTTGCAGTCAATAATCACCACTATCCCGAAACCGGGTAAAGACCCACAAACTCACTCAAAATTACAGGCCGATCTCGTTAATCAACACAGACATTAAAATATACACCAAATTAATTGCCCAAAGACTGCTCCCTTATCTGCCTAAACTGATACACCCCAGATCAAGTTGGTTTTATACCCGGTAGACAGGCCCCTGATGCTACCAGACGAATAATATCTCTTCTGAATCATCTAGAAACTGATAGACGTCCCTCTCTCCTTTTGTCACTAGATGCGGAAAAGGCTTTCGATAGGATTCACTGGCAATTCATGACACTTACACTACAAAAATTTGGCTTTACTGGTTGGATACTATCGGCGATTCTCGCCCTTTACTCCAACCCATCTGCCAGAGTCTTAACTAACGGCACACTCTCACAACCCTTCTTCATATCCAATGGAACCAGACAAGGGTGCCCCTTATCCCCCCTAATCTTTGCCTTACTAATAGAACCATTAGCGACCAAGCTCAGAAACGACCCAAAGTTCACAGGAGTCGAATACCAATCTACTGAACACAAAATTAGTCTCTTCGCAGATGACATCATACTGATAGTCACGAATCCATATAAATCTCTTCAGACGATACGTACACATATTAGTGATTATTCAGCGGTTTCATACTATAAACTTAATGAACCCAAATCATCAATTTTAAACCTATTCACACCACCTATAACCCAAGAATTACTTTCTAAACAGTTCCCCATTACTTGGGAAAACTACAGCATCCCATATTTGGGAATTAAACTCACTGCTAACACTAGCCAACTCTACACAGTTAATTACAGACCGCTTCTCGAATCTATCCCACACAAGATCTCAAAAGCCTTCGCACTTCTACCCTATCGACATTAGGTATAATAGCGACCCTAAAAATGTGTATACTTCCTAAAATACTTTACGTCTTTCGAACACTACCTATCCCAGTCCCCTACTCTTTTTTCATCAAACTCCAGGCGATTCTAAATAAATTCTTATGGAACTTAAAAAAGCCCAGATGCACTACAAATCTACTAATTCGCCCTACCTCCAGAGGGGGAGCAGGCCTTTCCACACGTGAAATCCTACTACCAAGCTGTCCTACTGGACCAGCTCTTCTTCTGGTGGCACCCTTCCCCTGAAAAAATATGGACCATCATGGAAACATCTTTGTACCACCCACATGTTTTAACAGACACGTTGTTTCTACCCCGTACTGCTCATACTCAAACGCACCACAAACATCCATGTATCAAGGCCTCCTTAACAGCCTAGTATGACTTTATTGAATATAACAAATCGGGGAACCACAATGTCCAAATTCTTACCCCACTAACATCTCTTCTCCACCTCATTCCCAATTTAAACTTAAAAACATGGACGGCCCTTGGCATACTCCATATTCAAGACATATACACCTCTGATTCCTTCCACGTCACCCAAAATATATTCCACCTACCGGACAACGAACAATTTACCTATATCCGCATAGCCCATGCGCTCTGTAAAACTAATATCCCACTTGCCTTGGAAATCCCTGCACCGGTCAATCATTTCTTTCATAAAACCACCTACCCAAGGAAAGGAATTTCCGCATTCTACACCTTTCTAATTGAAAAGCAATTTACAACGTACACATCTTCCTTAACCAACTGGGAGAAAAAATTACATCAATCCTTTTCCCCTAATTTATGGGAAAAAACATTTAATATTACTTACAAAGCTTCGAAATGTTCCTCCCACTGGGAAACGTATTTAAAAATCCTACACGAATGGTATATGACCCCTACTAAACTATCATTATTTTACCCACAACACTCGCAAGCTTGCTGGAGACATTGCGGAGAGACCGGTTCACTTTTCCATATACTTTGGAACTGTAAGTCAATTAAATCTTACTGGAACAAAGTTTTTAATATACTATCTTCAATTACGGATACGTCAATTACTCCAAACCCCGCTTTAGCCCTCCTACATATTGGCATAGATAAATTCCCCATAAATTCACGGACCATTATTCTACATACTTTAGCAGCTGCAAAAACCAACATTACCAGATTATGGCGCTCTAATACTACTCCCCTCCTGTCTCGCCTCTTTCAAGACCTAAATCTCCAATGTGAAATGGAAAGAAGAATAGCCTCCCACAACTCATCTTCCCACAAATTTACAGCTCAATGGTCTCGATGGTTAAAACATCCAAACTGCTCTGTAAAATGATTACTATTTTGACCCAATCTTATATATATATAGAAAAACGAGTATTCTTTTGTGCCGCCCCCTCCTGTTCCCCCCCCCCCTTTTTCCAATTCCTATCTCCTCTTTAATTGAAACCTAGTTACCTCGAGAAAGTTCACTCGACACTGAGCATACCTCTCATGTAACACCTGGACTCTAAAATATCCCCAGCCTATTGGTGGGGACCCTTCACCCATATCTATATTTGTGTGTACTACGATTTCCTAAGTGAACTTGATATTCTCATTTACCTTGTTTATCTTTTCTGTATGTTTCAAAAACCTTTCAATAAATAATATTTGAATATAAAAACATTTTACTTCTTATCAAAAACTGATTCTGTATTTAAATATCAATAAAACAATTTAAAATGTACTAATTTATTTTCTACAGATTTATTAATGGATTTTTTGATGGCAAAATCTTAGTCAAATCTCAATTTAATGTAATAGAATGCCTAGCTTACCAATGTCATAGGCTAATTCCAAAATGGAGAATATAACCATTGTAGCAGAGTTTACTTTGTTGGGTTTCTCTATACATCCCAAACTAAGATTTCATATCTTCTGCTTTGTGTTGCTATTTTATATCATAACCATGACAGGGAATCTCTTTGTTGTTTTCTTGGTAATGTTGAATAGCACAATACAAAGGCCTATGTATTGGTTCCTAGCTAACTTAGCCATTATTGATATCTGTTTCATCAATACTACGTTACCAATTTTTCTGAAGGAAATCTGGAAAGAAAATAATTTCATATCTTTAACCAGCTGTCTAGCACAAATGTATAGCCATGTCCTTTCTGGAACTGCTGAATTTCTACTCTTAGCTGTGATGTCATTTGATCGATACGTGGCCATAAGTTTTTCCCCTTCACTACAACGCTATTATGAAAAGACAAGTTTGCATACACATATCAGCTGCAGTATGGTATGGTTCATTTTTCGCAACATGTATTCCAGCATATTTAATAATGAAACTCCCTTTCTGCCTTGCTAATATTGACCATTTTTTTCTGTGATGTTTATCCCCTCTTAAAAAACACCTGTACAAGCACAACATTGATTGAAAACTGTATATTAGTATCATCATCTATTATAATTGTCTCTTTGCTAGTTACAGTTACATCTTATGGAAATATCATCATCACTGTGGTGAAAATGAAAACTACTGATGGAAAGCAGCGAGTTTTTACAACATGCTCTTCACATGCTATGGTTGTGTCCCTTGTATATGGCAGCTGCATATTTACTTATTTTCACCCATCTCAGTTTCAGAGGTATTATTTTAATAAGAATGTCTCTATATTAAATGCAGTTATAGTGCCTTTAATTAATCCATTCATTTAGACACTACGAAACCAAAGTGTGAAAGAAGCAATTCATAACATCTACTTAAAACTTATTAGTAAAAGGTTAAAAGTAAGTTTATTTAACCAGTAAATCTGCTATAGGCTGGGCTGGACTTTACCCGTTCCGGGTGGACGTAATATGACATCCTCTCGGACTCGCCGTACATGCACACCCCCACGGGGGTGCACAGTGATCAGTAGTGAGCTATGTCCCTCAGACATAGCGCATCACCTATCAGGGTAAAGAGCCAATGACAGTGGCTCTTTACCCATGTGATCGCTGTCTCCAATCACAGTCAATCACAACTGTAAACAAAGATCGGCAACTCACTGTTATTGGCTTCACCTCAAACACAGATTTAACCCCTTATATACTTTGCCCTGATCACTGTAAAGTCCATCACAGCAGCCATCAGTGTACCTGTCAGTGCTGTCTATCAGTGTACCTGTCACAACACCCATCATTGTATCTGTCAGTGCATCCATCAGTGCAGCCTATCAGTGTACCTGTCAGTGCATTCATCAGTGCAGCTTATCAGTGTACCTGTCAGCACATCCATCAGTGCAGCCTATCAGTGTACCTTTCACTGCAGCCTTCAGTGTAGCCTATGAGTGTTTCTGTCACTGCACCCTTCAGTGAAGCCTATCAGTGCACCTGTTACCTCTACCATCAGTGCAGCCTATTAGTTTATCTCTCACTGAAGCCATCAGTGCAGCCTAATCAGTGTACCCATTACAGGGCCTCTATCACTGCCACCCATCAGCAGTGTACCCATCACAGCCCCCATCAGCAGTTTACCCATCATACAGCTACAATTAGCAGTGTACCTATCCAGCTATCACCAGAGCTGCCATGTCCAAAATATTTTATACTAGTGAGGAGGCATTATAAATCCTCAGTATCACAGATAAGAGCAGTGGGGAGCTCTCACCATCTGATTTAAGTTCGGAATATGAGCCTTTTGAAAGTAGTGGATCTGTGACCGAATCTCAGGAGGAAACAGTCCCTCCCAAAAGAATAGAAAAAGGAGAGAAGCGCCTCTAAGTGCAATAAGTCTTTTAATTCAAGTCTAAATGTAGAAACACTCACATGTGTGAAGTAATCATAAGCATAAAAACCGTGCTTAACAATAGTTAACGGTGGGGTGGTAACCCGGGTGAAGAGCCGTCATCTCTCTGCGATGTGGGGAGGTCAGCTCTCGGCTGGAACAGCGTGGTGGCTGGAGGGGGAACAGCGGTGAGGCCAGCCTTCATGCACGTCCTTCCTCAGAGCCGGATGGAACGCACGCTGGAACGTAGCGGCGGCGTGGCTGTGATGACATCAGATCCCAGGGTGCACTGCGACTGGCCGTGGAAGGCGAAAGTGCACTCCTTTTTCAAGCAGGGGGAGGTGGATGAACAGGGGTGAATATATAGGGAACGTGAGTCTAATTGATCAATTAACCAATTAACCAGTGATTGACCATGGCTGTCAGGGGAATAGTGTAAAGTCATGGATGTTAACTGGGGGGTAAAAGGAAACCAAATGGAAAAAAGAGAGGATGTAATAAATAAGAAAACGGAAGACGAAAGAAAAGGAAAAAAAAAAAAAAAAAAAAATTATGTTCTGGGAGATTAGTGGGGTAAAATGTTCACCTTGCAGCACTGGCACATCAATTATGTAACAGTAGTGAGCAGATATTTAGTGGTAATACAGCATGATTGCAAGATGATAAACATATTGGTAATAATACATGCAGATGACATTATAAAAAGTAAATTACATTGTAAAAAATTGTAAAAAATAGAATAAAATATAAATAATGAACAAAAGGTTATAAATAATAAACTAAAAATTGGATTAAAAAAAAAAAAAAAAAAAAAAGATACATTGTCCCCAGGCGGACTCAACGAGGAATTAGGAACGAGGAACGAGGAATTAGACATTAACACTATACTATAAACACTACAATCTCCCATTCACAGCCACTCAACACTCACAATGATACTTCCCCCCCCCCCCCCCCCCCCCCTTTCTTTATAAAATTATTATTATTTTTTTTATTTTTTTTTTTTAATTGAATTTTTTAATCGAATTTTTAAATTGAATTTTTTATCGAATTTTTTATCGATTTTTTTTTTTTTTTTTAATCCAATTTTTAGTTTATTATTTATAACCTTTTGTTCATTATTTATATTTCACCCGGGTTACCACCCCACCGTTAACTATTGTTAACCACGGTTTTTTTTATGCTTATGATTACTTCACACATGTGAGTGTTTCTACATTTAGACTTGAATTAAATGACTTATTGCACTTAGAGGCGCTTCTCTCCTTTTTCTCATCTACAGAAGTTGCTACAGCTTATTTGGAAGCCTTGCCCTCAGTGCCACACGGGAATCCTACGCTCTTCATACAGTAGCCACTAATACCACCATCACCCATACTACCATTTCCCCAGGACTTTGCAGTGTTTGCGCTGTTACAACCCTTCCTCATTTTTTCTGAATCATTTTGTGCTCATGTAGCAGTACCAGCAGCATCCACTCACTTAGTCCTCCACATGTACATGCCTGTGCATAGGTTGGCAAACATATGTGTGTTTAATGTGCATATATGTGTACATGCATGTATACCTAGACATTTATTTGTAGTATTTAGTTATTTGGTCATTTTCTGTAATTTGACCATCATCATTATGATTTAATATTTTTTAACTCATTGTATTACCAACACTATTTTACCCATTCACTACTCCATAACTAATTGTCAATTAACCACTCTCTCCTTTCCCTTTTTTTTTTTTTTTCTCCTTTCTTTTCTCTCAAACAATTTTGATACAATCTATTTTTGACACAATTCAATCATTTTTCAATTATTATATATATATATATATTTTTTTAAATCGAAGCTTTTTTTTTTATCGAATTTTTTATCGAATTTTTTTTTTTTTTTTTCCCCTCTCTCATACACCACTGAATACTTATCCATCCATTCACCTTCATCATGGAGCTACTCCATGATATTGAGGCAATCAGATACGATATCCTAGACAATTTCTTTACCCTCTTTCCATCTGATT